TGAAAAATCTAAAAGGTTGTTGTTAAAGCAATCTCAAACATCCTCTAACTAATCATTATTATATTAGCTATACTCTAGTCTAGATATTTTTATTGACTTGGCCTTCCATAACTTCTGTTTTAATAATCATTATTATATTACGTATACTTTACTCTACACATTTTTATTGACTTGGCCTTCAACTCCTGTTTTACGTTACATAAAGTCAATAAGTCAATCTAAATAGACAGTCCTTTTGTCTCTTTGTTTCCCAAAAGTTGTCATAGCTTTATAGCTTTCTGACCCATTCTTCACAGTCTAGTTATATACACTAGCAGTTGCATAGACACACAAGTATGATATTTGATACAGGAAACAATTAGGTGTTTCTTTTTATGGCTAATTTAAATTTTAGAATTTATATAATTTAAAAAAAACACACACACACACTAAATACATAGGTGGATTTAGGGTGAGCATTTGGATCTTTGGATCGGTCCTGGTAAGCCTCAACAGTCTGGTTCAAGGTCCACTAATTTATGCAAAAATAGGTCTGGTCTAAATGCTCACTTTTACGTCTATGAACCAGGTTCAAGCTCAACAGGTTTGATTTAAGGTCCACCAATTTCTGCAAAATAGGTCTGGTCCAAATGTTCACTTTTACGTCCAAGAACCAGGAACCGGACCTCGACCTGGTAAGCGGTAAGCCTCAACAGGTTCGGTCCAAGGTCTATCAATTTCTATAAAACCGGTCCGGTTCAAGAGTCGTTCCGATCCGGTTCAACAGCTAGGTGTTTTTTTATGGCTAATTTAAATTTTATAATTTATAAATTAAAAATATATATGGGTGGATCTAGAGTGACCATTTGGATCTTCGGATCAGACCTGGATTTGGACCTGGTAAGCCTCAACAGTCCGGTCCAAGGTCTACCAATTTCTGCAAAAATAGGTCCGATCCAAATGCTCACTTTTACGTCTATGAACCAGGTTCAGGCTCAACATGTCCGGTTCAAGGTCTACCAATTTCTACAAAATAGTTCTTGTCCAAATGCTCACTTTTACGTCCAAGAACCAGGAACTGGACCTCGACCTGGTAAGCGGTAAGCCTCAACAGGTCTGGTCCAAGGTCCATCAATTTCTATAAAACCAGTATGGTTCAAGAGTCGGTCCGGTCTTATCCAAATGTTCACCCATAGGTGGATTGATGTTGTTACATAATCGCCTCACCTTGGTTTGCCAAGTTTAACCCCTCCGGTTTATGTAAAATCTTTTATTTCAAATTTTCTACGTTTAATTTAAACTATAATGAAATTTAATTATCTACAATACCATAAAGGCAAAAATTACATAGGTGGGTCCATATAAATTACATAAGACCTAGTATTTGAGTTTGCGGGTTGTTATATGTTTTCATACGTACAAGGCATGAGAATTGATTAGCCAGTATAGCATATCACAGCTTCCTAAAAAACTAAAAGTTTAAAAGAAATGAGCGCTAGATGAGTTTATCAAAAGTTGAGAAGAGTTTAGGAACTATTTTTATAAGTTGTATGGTTTTTGAATAATCCATAAAAATGTAAGACCATTACATAGACTAAAATACAATGGTATAAAAGCAAAGACTAAAAATAACAACAACCAAAACGTAATTACTAAAGTTCGACAAAAAAGAGTATGCCGCCACTTCAACCTAGCTAGATTAAAAAAAAACACGTAAACATACACAAAATTTATATCGAAACATAAATAAACGTAAATTTATACCAACAAGTACATAAAAAACGACACATACATAAAAAAGCAAATAAATGATTTGGTGGGATCGACAGACGTAGTGGCGGATAAAATTGGTTATTTTATATTAACGAACGAAAATTATTAAAGAAAACCAAATTATATATGCTATGGGGGGTAAACACAAAAGTTTATAAAATGGAGATTGTAAGAGTCACATTTTACAAAGCTCAAAGTTAAAGGGTCAACGTAACATTTAAAAAACAAAGAAGTGGAAAAGTTTAAAAAATGAAAGGGTGAAATTGATATTTTACAAAATGAAGGGGTTGCAAGTGACAACTTATACATACTTGATGGATTGAATATGTCACGATGTAAGTGTGTATTATGCACATGTAGAATGTGCTTTATAAGTGGCAAAGTCAGGATTTCGGGATAAGGGGCATACATCATAATAAGATAATAACTTTGTTTGATTATATATATAGTTAGTTTAATAATAATATTATTAACATATTGTAATTGTAGTTCATAAACATTTTCCTTTCGTTTGAAAAAAAAAATCAATAGTTCTTTATAGCTCCTGACTAATTTACCTCATGGTTATAAAAAATCATATTATCAATCATAATAAAATTATTTATAAATTGCAAAATTTTAACATGTTACAAAAGTTAAAGGTTATTTATTACTAATTTGAGAATAAAATGGTGATATTTCTTAGCAACAACATCACCTTCACCGTTAATAAAAAGGGAGAATTTCATATATGCCATTCTTAAACATCAAAATATCATATTTACCCAACTTAATTTCTAAATATCATATTTACCCTTCATAAAATTTCTAAATATCATATTTACCATTCATAAAATTTCAAAATATCATATATATCCTTTTTAAACATCATAATATCATATATGCCCTTCTTAAGTATCAAAATATCGTATATGTACTTTTTAAACATCAAAATATCAATATTAATATTTAAAATATCATTCATCTACAATATAATCAACAAAAAACACTAAACAATCAAAATATACATTCCATAGAGAGGGTTGAAGATGAATATTTTTGTTTGTCAAGAGGACGATATTCCAACAATTTAGAAGTTTACATTTCATTATCATAAACGTAAGGATAATATCGTTAAATTTTTTAATTATTATTGTAATTTTAAGTTATAAAAATGATTATAAAATATTAAAAACATTATAAAAAAGGATTTGGGCAAATATGATATTTTGAAGGTTTATAAAGGGTAAATATGATATTAAGAAATTAAGTTGGGCAAATATGATATTTTGAGGTTTAAGAGGGGCATATATGAAATTCTCCCTAATAAAAAAGACACTGAGTTTCAAAATTAAAATAAGATGAATGGAGCTTTGGGCTTTATTTACTGAAATAGGCCATAAATTTAGTCTCAGGTTAATACTCTCTTAAATAATTGAAAGAGTTGGAGGGGGCGTAGCATCCGGCTGCCCCCCTACTGGCTCCGCCATTGTTTTCAGCTACAATAAAAGTCACTTACATATCCAACTTTTCATTTTAGTTATGTTTAGAATTTCTAAACTCGTCCAACAAATTAGGTTGTTTGAAATATCAATATTAGTGTCTCGAATGTGGCATGGTGTTGATGTGGCCGAAAACCCATGGTATGCACACCAACCCAATGTGGCATGATCATACGAACGTGCGGAAGAGGAGGAGACAGTTGAAAACCGTCAATTTTTTATAAAATATATCTAAAATCTTTATAAATTTATTTGTAAATACATTTAGTCTTAAACATATTCTCCACACAACTCTTTCCTTTTCTATTCTATACACAAGTATCCTTTTAATCCTCAAGCAAAACAAAACACAAATACCACAACTCGAGAAGGTGCATTCGCCCAAGACAAAACACCACGATGATTTCCATATTATGATTCACCTAGTGGCAGGATCATAAACTTGCTTCAAGGTACATTTCAACTAAACTCTTTCCAACAACCAATCTCACTTGCACAACAACCACTATTTAAAGATTCTCAAACCCAAAAACATCAATTGGAAAGGGAGGAGACATCTTGAGCACAAGCTTGGGTAGCCATCTCCTAAGAGAATGTCAATGAAAAAAAAACGTCCAAAGTGTTGATGAAATTTTAAACCTGGAAATGGGAAATGGGTAAGGGAGTTTATATCATCAGTGATGTACTTTCTTCAAAATGACACGATATGAGAGTTAATATTACCAAATCCAACAAAATCTTCAACGATAGCGAACAACCTAATGCACTGATAAACCTTTTACATACATCAAGGCTTGGCAAGTTATGATAAATGCTCCAAAATGGGTGCTTGAAATGCTTACTAAATTTACCGAATCAAACAAACTGTCCAAAATATATGAATCGAGCAACTACACATAGAATTCAGACCCCAAAATACAATCGACCTAAATGATGATATACACATAATTAAAATGGAAGAACCCTTACAATGAGCGGTTGGTAGGGATAAAGAAAAGCGAGTGGCATCGGGGGGATCGAGATTAGCTCAAAAATCTTCGGAGCCAATCAACCAAACAACTTACATTATTATTTTAAGGAAAAGCTTGATGGTTGTCTTTAAATTCAAAAGGAAACGGTGGAGATAATGAAGGAAGCACACCGTGACCAACAAACCATAACCAATACTAAAATGTTGAAGATATCGGCCGACAATCACGAGTATGATGGCCTAGGGACGTTTTAAGCAAATATAAAAACAAGTTCGCGACAAATATAAGCAAAATATGTAAGTTTTATTTTCCTTTGTTTTTCTTAATCTACTATTCAATTTTTGTTTTTATAAACTAATGTAACTGTTTTTTGTTTGTTAAATCTTATATTTTTTAAATTTTAATTATGGTTAATTTTATTATATTTTTATTATGTACCATTCTATAAAAAATACTCTTTTGTTACGTTGCTTTTGTGAATTAGTAAGACGAGTCATTTTAATCTAAAACAGACACTTTCTTTTCTTTTTAACGGTCATAGTTTACAATGACATTACTATTTTAATTTCTTTTGTACCTAAAATCATATTTACTAGGTTTAAACCCCGTGTATTACACGGGTTTATTAAAAGAAAGTTTTGGCACCACAAATACCATGTTCATAAAAAAAATAAGTAACGAGTGAGTTTGTGACTTTTCGTAAACCATATGGACTATTTATGTAATATGGTCTTAACTAATTAATACTAATAAAATTAATTAATATAAATTCATAAATGGAATATACTGTCTATATTAATATACATATACATCTTCCTACCTAATAAAAGAGTAGCAAATCTATCACGTGTCAATAAATTAGAGCTTAAATTAATTATTTGTCACTTATCCGTCTTTGGTTTTTTCTTATTAATTAAATTTCCACTAATTCACTCCTTCCTTTTATATAGATGAAACACGTCAGCAAAAAATTAATTTGTAATATTTGTTGTCTAATTTATTACAATAACCCTTAATAAATGTAATTTAAACAATCACGTCATCTTTATGCAATCCCTTCAAATATATTAAATCCCTGGATGACACTTATTCATTTTTACAATGTAATTTTCAAATTTTCAAATAAAACAATGTAAACAACTGTACAATATACTCAATATATATATATATATATATATATATATATATATATATATATATATATATATATATATATATATATATATATATATATACCTCATTTGCAATGAATGTTCACGAATATATTGTTATTTTTCTTCATTACTTCACAAATAAATATTGTCTGTTATATATCTTCAATATATTTCACATTTTCATTTAAAACAACGAGTATAATTTTATATAAATACAAAAATATATATCTTAATTAATAATTTATTTACAATAATTGATTAGTAATTATAAGTTTTTTTTTATAAAATTTAATATTTTATAACCGTGGTTCCTACGGGTTATAATCTAGTTAATTAATGTATTAATAGAAAGAGGAAATAAAAAATAGAAAGTTACTATTTATATTAATTAACATATTTATAAAATTAATTAATATGATTTGTCATTTAATAGGTGAGATTTGAATAAATAAATAAATAATAAATAATAAATAAATAAAAAAAAAAACTATAAAAATGACTAGTATATATATTAAAGAATTCAAAAAAATCTAGAAAATGACAAGTATCAAAATGAAAGAGAAATTGACATTTGGTAAAATCATTCTTATTTATTATGGTATATTATCAAGTTGGATAATTTGAAAAATAAAAATAAAAAAGTTTATGCATCCTTCTATAAAAAAATACTCCTTTTGTTATGTTTAATTATGTTATCGAGTAAGACGAGTCGTCTTAGTATCAAAGAGACAGTTTTCCTTCTATTTACTTTTA